ACTCCGCCTACGTGACTTTTTGCGGACCAGCTGAATGAACGGCTCACAGAACAGTCAAACAGGCACACAATTGAAATGTATACAGAGGATAGAAAGTGAGAGTCGTATTAATCATGTGCAGGAATGTTCCGTCTTAATTAAATGTATAGTTAGCTGGAATAAGGCGATTAGTCGAGCAAATCCCAGAAAAGTTAGGGAGGCATTAATTGGGGAGACAGCTCGCCGAGCACCTCAGAGCGTTCAAATATCAAATTTTCAAGCGATTTTTGAAAGTTCTCTATCTAGAAGAGTCTATACGTTTTATGTCCTTGTGTGATATTATCTTGGGTTGTTTTGTATGTTTTTGCAAATACCTTTCCTTCTCCGCAGGACACATTTTCCAATGAAGACTAGATGGTAATGCCCGATCTCGATAATAACTGCAATAGAAGATTGATGTTTACAGAAAAAGGGATATTCACCACAAACTACGCTGCCTGACACTGTTATAAGCTAGATGTCTCATTGAAGGAAGCGTGAAATGGTTAATGGATCAGTGCGGGGGACTAGAGCGTTGTAGAACCTGCTAATCCTGTGAGTTTCTTAAAGCGGCTTTCGTCGGACCTGAATAGCACTCGTCAGACTATCGGCGTGAAAATGGTAGGAAAAATGAAATCTCTTAGAATGCCATAGCCAACGTTTCGGTCTAATAGATATCCACCATCTCGTCGCTTCATGGTTATTCATTTCGTCATTCCTTCAGTCGTTTGTCCAAAGCTCAGCTCCTCCTTAAGGCAGATGTAGTTTGTCGCCGCTTCATCATCTGCCTCTTCATCGTTCTTGTTGAGAATATCAGAACTTCCTCATGAGAGAACTTTTTTTGAAAGCACCGTGTAATTCAGTCTCCCGTTCTCAGCTGGCACAATTTTGTGGATAATGTCGTCTTTCATTTGTAAATAGACGACATTATCCACATGTAAATATGTTCAGGAGAAAGTATCTCCCAGGTTGATCCAGACTACTGCGACCATGAGGGGAATTGGCTCCATTTTATCAAGTTTCAAATGCCTTTGACTTAAGTTCAAAATGGGACTCTAAAAAAAAGCTGGTTGTTAGAAGATTTTTCACTGCTTACATATCACTATTCTCGGGAATCGAATAAGCCTTACCAGTCTTGTTGGATCGTCATGTCAGTACTCTCAACGGTTCGGTCTGAGCTGGTTTTAAATTTAAGAACGGAAAATTCTGCTTCGGATATGAATCTAATTTCAATTCTATAGGCTCTCGACGAGACTGCTTTATGCAAGCAATTTATTTTGTCGATTCTTCTGATTGCGTTCGGGTTTTCGAAAAAAGGTCTAATTTTGATTCGAAGATTTGGAACTTGCCGCTATTCTTTTGTTCGCTATCTAAGCAATGACAATGCAAACAAACGAGATTACTTTGGCGTTATCATGATCGCAAAGTCAGCGTCGCTATAGATACTCCAGTTTGAATCACCTGCAAAAAAAACTCGTTGGATATCTTAAGAGATTATCACACACGTCAGCCAGCCGGGTTCTCCTCGAAGCTATTTATAAGTGTTCTCATTGAGTTCCGTAAGATCATGCTTGCACCCTTTTCTCTAGCTAGAAGCTATCAGCAAACTGCAAAGAACTTCTCAAGCTTCTCACTGGCCCTAGGCACAGCTTCCCTTGACCGAGCTGGGAAACGACTCAAACAAGACGACTCAAACAAGGGGAAACCAATGCAAACGCTGGATCAAGCGAGTTCTCCGCAAAAAAAGTCCGTGGGTGGTGACTCGTAGATTCAATCCCGTCGGTACTAGAAGTCAAGTATTTCAAGCCTGGCCCGCCATTGGAATTTCCATTTTATCGTCAAAGCGACCGCTTTTGAATTTACTGGAAACTTCAGAAATCAAACAATCTCTGTCATGAGCTCGAAACGGAAGGAGTAGCGTCGAGACTACCTTCCCCAAGAGAAAAGAGGGGTGCACTAAGAATGAATGAACGTCACAGAAGGATTGTTTTCCATGCAGCAGGCGTTTGACCTGACTCCTATGAAATGCTGAGATGAAGGTTCTCTTAGGCAGAATGTACTGAAACTTTTGTTCTAATGAGATGCAAACATATGTGTTGCTACCAATGATGAAAAATCCTATTAGTGTCTTTATTGTCCGTTACTGTTGAGCCGCTAATTCAGCTCCTGGGTAAACATTGCTTATCAAACGAACACTGACTGCTGACAACTTGTTTGGGAAGTATGAGTAGCAATTTCGAGCTTTCGAATTGTAAACATTCCATCCATCATCACCACCTGGCCCTCAAATTACTTTTGTGTGAAAAGTTGAAATCCATCCCTGATGGGGCGGCCTTGTTCTTGGAGGGAAATTCGAGGGCCTTCATACATCAGAACTATGCTTCGAAGTTGAGGAAAGAAAGGGAACTTTGAACGTCACGCCAAATTCCATGAAACTTCGTTGGGCACTCTCACTTTAACCACATCCAGTCAGTGCTACTACCCTAATTCAATTCAAAATGTCGTATACTGTAGAAACTTGTCAGGATCTAGAGTCTCTCCGTTTTGGCATCAAATTTTTGGTTCACAGCAAAAGCGGTTCTTTTTCACGTCAACCTGACGCTTAACTTAATTCAATTTTAATGATGGCGACAGAAGTAAGTGCATATCAATCTCTAATCTATCTATTATTTCTTACACCTGTAGTATTTCCTGGGCCTGATACAACCCCAGAGTCGACAAATTGAAAGCTACATGACATGCCTCCTCTATTAAAGGGAATGCACGATTCTGAGCAAATTCGAGGGTGCGGCTTATCTCGAAGAGGGGATTAGCGCCGCTCAGTCGTGTTAGCAATAACACGACTGATTCCCACGATGTTTCAGGAAGCTTCCCTTTCCTCAAAATGGTAGAATGTTTGGCACCTTTCCTACCTTTGATACGTCCAGTCTTCGTTTAGTAACCTAACCTACAAATGCGAGCCATACTGTAGTAGAATTTCCTATTGAAGTCTAGTATTGCTACTGTATTTCAAACGCTAGCTTTGGATAACCACTCGAATATAAGCCACTTACAAATAACATAAAACTCATGCCCAGGTTTCCGAACTTTAAGCGATTTCATGGGCTTGTAGACAACAGCGCAGCTTTGCAAAATCAATGGTCTGAGAATTTGAATATCTTTGATTATTTTTTAAAGAGCACATCGTTATCACTTTATACCATCATATCGCTCAAAGGCTAATAAGAGCATAATTTTCCTAGTCATTTACTGTCACATTTCTGTTTACCTCGTTTCGAGTAATTTTTGGGATGTTGGCTAGCCAAATTGGGCTAGCCTTGCTTAGTTCAACAGACTCGTGGCAAAACTGGCTTGTCATGTGATTGGAATGCGAAAAACAAGTCCTTTCAGAAAGAGGGCAACAAAAACTGGATGTTTGATGCAATCCTCTCCTAGGAGTGCTATGTAAATGTAGAGAGGGTCCCCCACCAGATATCGACATCGAGAGTGCTGTTTCTCTAAGAACAATTTTGAGTTTAGAGGGACTTCTTTGTACCGAATCATTCTGTAGGGCAAAGGACCAACGGTTTCCGTCGAATCTCTCGCACGTTGTCATTTTTCTGAGATCCTCAACTTCAGAAGGTAGTTATCTGGTGAAAAGGAAACTGCAGCATGAAAGCGCTCATTTTCTCGCGAGTATAATAACAAAATGACTAAGAACCAGTAATCAGCTATTGCAGGTAAATTTCCCTGTCCTCTACTCTTTCAACAAGCCTACGTTTTGGAAATCATAGCATCAAATCATATCACGTGGTGTCCTCGGTTGATGTGGGTAACCAGTATGATTGGTTGTGCGTGTCTTTCTTTTGTGACAAAGACGGATTGCCCGGTCAACCGTGGGCATTGCATTCTTCAACAAAAAGTAAACCAACACTTCTGGTTGCGAGATTTTGTCCTGCACTAACTCTCGAGTGAGAACGTTTTTTCTCTCTAATCCTCTGAATTTCTCCTTTCTGACTATTAACGTTTGCAAGTTTCTGTGACAAACTCGAAATGCTCGATTTAAAGTGAATATTGCGATGAAATCGTTTCATTAAATGGGCTGACCGCAAAATTTTGGATTTCTGTACCCCTAATTGATCTCTTTTTCAAAGGAAGGCACTACTATTCTCTTGGCTCCTCCCTCCCCCTTTGCATCCGCATCAGCTTTTATCAATTCCTTTCCGATGCAGTTTCACCCATATGAAAGATTTTGATGCCTAGATTTCTTTTTCTATGCTCCTGGAATTGAAGATGTCAATGACGCATGCAAGTTACTATCATTTCCGTTATCAACCATTAATATGCGATCACTTCCTGGACCAAAACTAAAAGGGCTGAAGTATGGTTGTGCCAAGTGACGCATCACTACACGAATTCTGTTTGGCCGATCATTCGATCGATTCTACAATTCGAAATGGACGTTGAATGCGTGAACTATCTGAAAAAAAAGATTTATCATTGAGAAAAATCGGCAGACACCTAATGCATAGCATGTGTTAAGATTGTTACGGTTTGGTTGTAGAGAAGGCATAGCCTGGTACTTATATCAAAAAGACTCGTAGTGACAGTGGAAGTGATGAAGCGCATGACATAAAAGGTGCAGTTATTATACGGCAAATCTAGTTTTGTACAAATTAAATTACTATGTCACTTATGCTACATATGTACATCTTCTGTTGCAATTAGAAAAAAACTCTGTCGTTACCCATTGAGATACACTCAGTGACATACGTTCCTTTGGTTTTGGCAAGGTCTCAAAAGTAGGGGTGTCATCTCAGCAAAGAATGATCCAGGTAGCCAGTGTAAGAGCCTGCTTCAAATTGCCATGAGTCCATTTTATTGAATGGAATTGCCGTCAGAAGCATTAATTCTGAGACCACTTCAAAAGTTTACTAAGAGATTACTAGAATTAGAGGATTTTTTGTTGTGCATGGTTCCCTCACAAATGGTGTTTTGATTCAGTGCGATCACTGCGTGTGTTTGTTGAGCCCGCAGATGTTGAACTGGATGATGACGATGGATTGCTCTGGACCTCGCTTCAGACCGCTTTTCCCGGTAATTGACGTTACATGTGTCCCAGTTCGGAGAGTCATATTTGAGCTGGTTTCATTTTGCTTATTTCATGCGTTCAGGATGCTCTGGTATGTACTATCGTGAACGCGGAGCTGACTGTCGAAGTGCGGTAAAGTTCGACGGCAAGAAATTCCTGCCCCCTGCTGGTTCATGGAACGATCGGCAGTACTATGTCGCGATCAGTATGTTCATAATGTCGTCAATCCATTGGAAGTATTAGGTTGATGCATAATTATTGCGGATTTTTTCGCGGCTTGGCTTTTTTTCTCCCGAAAGT